GGCTTAACTGACCTGACATTGTTAAAGAAGTGAAGAATACTGTAGAAGATATAGTCTATGTAAGGCGTGGCCCTATGTTTCCTCATAGTCTATGTAGTCAAGTTACAGTGTTACTTTTACAAACAGATATACCAATTACCACTGTCGATATTTTCCGGTAGGAGGAGCCACCGGTCATTCCGCTTCTTTGGTAGGAGGAACAAACGATCATTTCACAACCCACGGAACTACATATCCCTTTTATTTTCAGTTTAATGTTGTCATATAATTGTAGACTACTTCAGCACTGCCGATTATGTCACTTCCAATGTAGCTATTACAGATATCCCACTGACGAGACATAATATATGTATTAGCTAGCATCACGCCCTTTACATGCTTGCATCAAGCATTGATAAATCATCATCGTTTACAGCGTCAGTCGTGTCGAAATACACTGTTTCCTAGCTGCTCCTTAACTAAGCCTCGTTTATCTTAACTAATAAGGGCAGCATGTGTGTATGACAAGTATACCTTAATGAATATGTATGAAGACAACTGGGGAGTATGACAGAATGAACGATGACAATCTTATAAAAGGACTCAAATCGTCTTAATGATTACTTCCTAGCATGCAGGTACATATCCATACAGCTGGGTAGGCTTGAACTATTGGGTTAAATTCAGTTGAAGAGCTGGCTAAACGGAACTGAGATAGATCCCCCGGAAACGGAATTTAAGTGAATTATACTTTGACACACCATCAACGTGAATATTCTAATGATAATTATGTAAATGCGCACTGACTAAACGTTCTTTGTAAAAACACTCTCCATGTGTTAGTCGGTACAGAAGGCTAAATAATATACTGATGCATACTTTGTTCTATGGGTTTAAATTGGATGTGAGAAAAAAGATTCCCCCTCACCCTTGATGTAATTATTTCCGTACAAAATATTTTATAAATAAATTTTGAGATTTATTTACTTTTGTATCTAAAAGGAAGAGTTTCTAGTCTAACTCTTATACAGACATCATAAAAGAGGGTGTTCCCAAGATAGCCGAATCTTTCTCCTGGACAGGTGTCTCGACTCCTAAATTAGATGGCTTGCATTGACATGCACATACACATCTGACGATAACTCTATACAATCCGATACCATATCACGATAAAAAGTCACAAATGCGTATGCCACTCTTTATCGCTATGATGTATATACAGATACGTAGTCACAAACTATACATTGTCACCTGATAACCAAATGAAACACGATGCTACAATGCTGTGATGTAAAGGGAGATTTGTTTTTGTCATTTAAAAATTAAAAGAACCTTTTAACGAAATTTTGAATTTTGCTTTGTTGAGATTATTATGAACTTTTATACAAAAATGACAAATAGCGTCCAACACTTGATAGCATCTAGAACCGTCACAGTTACTTTCTTTATGTTTAAATGATAACGTCATTATCCAAACAACTTAACAAAAAAAGATATTTCGTCATCCATGATATGTGATTTCATGTTTCATCTACGAAGTAGCCATTGTAAATTGCAGGCCTAATTTCACACGAGTGTTTTCTTTTTCATAATATCCCTGCATACCGGAGATTTAGACAAGAATATACCTGCCGTTACCCAATGCATGCTGTGACGGGCGAGTATAGTCAGAATCTCTTGCAGAACTAGGGATTTTCTTGTTGTGTCCGCTACTGGGGAATACATGCGTCCAAGCGAGGAAGGTTGTTGGTTCTGTGCCCAGACCGAGACAAGCAAAACTACAAAACATTGGTACACATGTACTTACTGTTCTAATGCTTGACGTTCTGTTTTTTCTTTCTTTTTTCTCTCTCACAATTATAACCATTACTACATGTATTATCCATATGTTGTAAAGCGCTTTAGAGCGATTTTACAAATTATATAGGGCGCTATATAAATGTTATATATTATTATTATTATTATTATTATTATTATTATTATTATTCTGTGCCCGCATTCATAAAACCGTTATGCTTAAACATGGACTCTGTGCTCAAACCAACTTTCTTGTAACTCATTTAAATCGTTTCAAACGATAAAAGAAGTCAAATGTAAACATTGAAACTGTATTCAGCCTTAAGTCTCTCCAAAAGTTTTTTTCAAATCATGGACAAAATAAGATTTGTTTTATTAATTTACATCCGGAAGAAGCAATTAGGCTTTTGCAAAAAATCCACGATTGAGTAAGAGAACGGTTACATGAATACGGGCCCAGTTTTAGGTGGGTGTCAGTAAGGGCTGATCAGCCCAATGTCAGTATAACGAGACCAAGTGAAGTGCCATGGTCAGCCTAAGTTCATTATAACGAGGCCAGATGGAGTGTCATGATCAGCCCAATGTCAGTATAACGAGACCTGGGCCCAGTTGTTCAAATTGTGATTAGCTTAATCAGTGATTAGCGTAAATTTCAATGTATGTGTATCTTTGAAACACAACTATCCACCGAGTTAAAACTTTTCAGATATCAAGTATTTAGTAGAGTTAATGTAAATGTAAAATTACGAGTTTTTACCTTGTATATTGACGAAATTATAAAAGGTTCAAAAATGTCGTTAAACAGTGATTAAGCTAATCATCGTTTGAACAACTGGGCCCAGGTGGAGGGTCATGGTCAGCCCAATGTCCGTATAACGAAACCAGCTGGAGTACCATGGTCAGCCAAATGTCATTATAACGAGACCAGGTGGAGTACCATGGTCAGCCAAATGTCATTATAACGAGACCAAGTGGAGTACCATGGTCAGCCTAATGTCCTTATAACGAGACCAGGTGGAGTATCAAGGACAGCTAAATGTCAGTATAACGAGACCAGGTGGAGTAATATGGTCAGCCCAATGTCAGTATAACGAGACTATGTGGAGTACCATGGTCAGCCAAATGCCATTATAACGAGACCAGGTGGAGTATCATGGTCAGCCCAATGTCAGTATAACGAGACCATGTGGAGTGTCATGCTGCCCTATCGACAGTTTATAATACTTCATTGCAATGACGCTTTAAAGTGACCCTTCAGTAAACCAATCATCTGTGAACAACGTCTCCATAGGGCCTCAGCTGTTTCGAAGATGTAAAACCCCCAAAACCAAACCAAACCATTCTTTTTCCATATCGTATGATGAAAACGCTGGTTTGTGGTTGGCAGATAGGATTATTTCTCGACCCCTACATCTCCGCCCTAAACAAAGTATATACCCTTAAGAAGCCCTTCGAATAGACTGTTATAAATCAAGAGGGTACGGTTCCCGGTGATTATCTTACAAATACAAGTGGTTATCGGGTAGCAGTTCTCGGTCACTCCGCCTCGCAGTAGGAATGTGTTCTCGTGTTCGTGGACACGAGCCATCAAACTTTCCACCCGGTAGAAGGAATTATCTACATGTTTTCTCATGTCCATTGTTACGGGCTGTCAGGCATGTGACATGCATTTGAGCACCATTTCTTCTGTGGGAATCCCATTGCACGACAATAAGCGAACCAATGTAGTCATCAATCGAATGCTTGCTCATCACAGGTTTGTGAACGGAGAAGATGGCTTTACTTCCGGTTGTGCCTACTTCATTGAAGAGTCTGTGAGACTTGGATGCTGAAAGCCAAACAACACGAGATACTGTTATTAACAAACTATTTAGTGTCAGCAGTTTGCTTGTTTCCGATTTTTTTGTGTCATTTTCTTATAATCAGTTAAAATAGTTTAACTGGTCATTTTGGGGTGATATGTTACATATGGTGAAACTGAGTCTTGACCATTTCTCGGGGAAACGGTGTTAAATTACTAATTTTGCCGATCTTTTATGTATGTTCTGGGTTTTTTTTAATCTATTTTTTTTTGTCTTTGGTCCAATATTCTGTATGTGTGTTTCTATATGTGATCGTTCAGTGCTCTATGAGAAGATTTTATCGTATCGCTATCCACACCTGTTTACTGGTTGCTATCCACACCTGTTTACTGGTTGTGGATACAACACAGTATCGTTAAGGAACCACGAGGATTGATATTCATCCAAGTTAGATTACATTACAATGACCGGTTGAGACAATTATGTAAACAATGCTGGTTTAATGTGATCACGAGGGTGACTTACTACGGTAACACAACAGGGACAAGACTCAGTGAAATAATGGTTGTAATATTAGCATATCACATAGTGTGTATCAAAAGTCAATAAATAAATTGAATATCAAGTATCACGTACTGTATTTACCTAGCTTTTTTTGAAATTTTTATTTTGCGGTGAGATACATCTGCAAATTCAAAGGGAGAGTATTTCCGAAATTCAGTGCAAATGCTGAGCGAATGTGTACTTCACCATTAAGGCGAAACTAATACAATAAGTGTTAACCCCAGAGTCTGGACTAGGCCTAAACTAATATTATCAAATTACAAAATATCCGGACTAGAGTATTTTTTTATTGTGTTCATATTACACAGGGTGTCCAGATTATACAAGAAATAAATAGTAAGCAGACTGTATAATAGAACACATTAAGTTTAGGAAATGTTAACTTACAACCTATATACGAATATATATTTAGATTACACAGTACCCGGACTGATTAATTCTACATAGTGTTAGGCACGTTACCGAGACTTATCACTTTTATAAGAAGACTTTACTTGTAATTTTTCAGTTGTACCTTGTCAGGTCGGAAACTATTATTGATAATTTTGGATAATAAGTTGTTTTGAATCAGAATCAGAATGAAAAAAAGTATAAGGCACATTTACGAAGTCTAAATCCACACCGTCCGCGAGGATCTCTTGGATCTCTTCATTGACTGACAAGAACAGGTGTCGGAATATAGAGATTTTCATAGCAGTGATTTTGTAACGATCAAACACGCTATACGGTGTAGTAGATGCACGGCCAGTCACTACTACCTGTGCACGTCAAAACAGCAAAGGGTCACAACTAAAGTATATATATATATACCTACACTTGAACAAGTGCATGAAGGGAATATTTCACCATTGGTCTATCGCGGAGTTTATAACTTAGGCCCGCCCTCCTACTCATAGCTTCTAGCCAAGTCAGGTTATCGTCGGGATCAATCCGTAGTTTGTGTATATCTGTCTGTTAGCTGCGTGTACCTCACCTGTACAACTTACCTGTTCGGCGTACCTGTACACCGAAAGCCATGTTACCTGGATTAACACTGTGATACACAACGATCAATTTTTCAATAGTTGGTCAGTTATGAATTAATTACTCAGCGTCCAGATGTGTGGTTGGTCCAGCGCGGGAAATTAAGCATTATTTCGTACCGCTGTGAGGTCGACCTCGGGGGACAGATTCTCACGTGTTATTCCTAAGGCCAGTCAGTTTCGTAGTGAAATTCATGCGTACACGTTTATATAATATGCATTTTATATCGGTGATCGGAGCCTTAGTGACCCTGTGGGGAGTATGTGAAGGACTGAAGGGCATTGGCCGGACTGTCAAGTTGACCCATACTGACCGCGCCATGCTTATAAACTATCACAACGACCTAAGGCGGGAAGTGCATGCCTCCAACATGCAGGAATTGGTAAGTCATCCAACCTCCGTGTTTACCCATTTCACGTGGTTAGGGCAGAGTAGGATGGTGGCGATTATTTATTGTTCCACATGTGTGTTGCTAAATCATGTACAACACACTATTGATAGACTGGAATTGCACTACTTACCGTATACATCGTAAGAGTTTGAGGTTAGTGTATTGGCTAGTGGCACAAACTCGGCTACAATTCACACTTTTAGCTTCCGTGTCATTGAAGCAAATTCATTATAGTGTAGTTCAAACTGAACCTATACTGAAATGTAAAACAACTATTCTATAGGTCCCAGGTCCACGAACGTTCCTGAACTTCAGCAAATTTAGGAAAAAATATTGAAATTGGGGGATATATGTAAAATGGTAGAGAGCCCCAACGCATTTTTTTGCTGAATATTAGCCTGCAGTTGAAGAATTCATCTTTTCAAATGTACCCAGCCCTTGAGGTAGAAGTTCCATCATTTTCTACAGTTACAGGTATAAAGGTAGAAGTTCCATAATTTTGTTAGAGTATATATACAGGCCTTAAGTTAAAGAGTCTTGTCACTTTTCTATTGTAACAATGGGTATTTTCCTGTTAGATTTATGGTACTTCCTCTATATTCTTACACTGACAATTATATGTAGCGGAACATTTCGATAATATTCCCAGAAATGTTACAGAAAATAAAGGATCGAATCCTCTTTCTTCTTATTTAACCCTTTTTCTAAAGTTGGCAAGCTAATCCAAGCAAGAAATAATTGGCGAACAAATTGGAACTCTTCCTCGTTTATACACTTTCCCGTAACTTCAGAAATCATTTCTAGTGTCAAATCTTCAGTTAATGAATGAAGTTAAAGAGCTCAAGGACATCTACTAAAGGTCGTGCAGGGAATATCATACCTCGCCTTTTTGTTTCTGCTGTTTTGATACAATAGACATGGATACGTGGGCTTGAATGCATTTTTCATGAGACCTGCAGAAGCTAATTACACATTTACTTTAACATATACAAAGTTAACTAATGTATCTTTGCTTGTGATTTCCCATAAACGTAGACGTAATGTCGATGTTGTTCTGTAATGATCACGGTAAGGGTATGTAATATGATATCCTCAAAACATGTTTATCAACATACATACAATAGGATGTTCTCATGTCTGCACCTAGCTTTTATTAGACAGCCTAAATTTGATTATATATGTATGTACTCACGCAGGGAATATCTACAATGAGGGAATTATCATGCAACATGGCGCGTAGGTTTAAAAAACTGTAACATTATACTTGACTGAAACATGTAAACACATATACTTTTTATATCATTTAACAAACAAATCCTAGATTTATGTGATTTTATGTTACTCTTATTAGTTTAAAATTTCATCACTGAATGACTTATTCATTTCAACACAATATGGATGACAACAGATTCTCCTAAAGAAAAATGCAGTTATTTTTAGTTCTGTTATTTCAAAATTTACTTAAGATCTCCTGAGATAAGACCAGACGACACAGACACAGGCTACTGACGAACTGTTCGCATCACAGGGACCTGGTCATGTGCTGTGTGTTATGACCTATTCTAGAGAATGTATTACTAGACGGTTAATGGGTTCAGATGAACGCTCGTTTGACGTACCCCTTCCCCAGCCCCCTATAGACAAACCTCGTTGACCCCAACCTCACACCCCAAACCCACCAAATAATGGTTTATAATCTAACAAATTTATTTGTTTAACATCCATTTAACTTCTGAGGTTATTTAAGGACGTTACTGATCAAGTCCGTGGTCAAAATAATTGCATGACAGAAGAAAGAGTAGTTTAGACTTTTTAAAGATAAGCCACTGGTCATACCACTCATTTTTAAACCCAGACGAAAGACACCTACCGTTCTAACAAGTTGGTTCTAAGACTGAAATTAACCCTTAACCTTTTTCAAATCATTGGATGTTTAGTTAACAGTTAAAGTATGGGTATGAGGGCTATAGCAAGTAGCTATATCCCGAAATAACCATACTTCAACTGTTTTATTATATCGATACAAACACTACCTTACAATATTGTAACGGATGCATGTACTGTTTTTTTGTGTTCCAACTGTTTTTTGCCTTCAATATGTCCGACAACTTGCTCTCATCCAACACAGAAAACCTGGGGTCGCCATTTCTGTTGTAGTCTGTCAACAACAATGCGAGGTGAAGGTCGGTCCTGAGAGTACCGACTCCGCTGGCCGGCAATTGCCAACGTAATTCGATTGCGCTGATTGGTCAATATTCGGTCAGGCCCCGCCCACGACGTCACTCAATTTCCACCATTTTCCGAGGGAAATAGTTTCAAAACTATCGCACACCTCCAGACGAACTCTTTCCCTGGCATGCAGTTAGAGGGAAATAGCTTGTTTATGTGGTTACTTTTGTATAGTGTAAAATAAGTAGAGGTATAATAATCTAGCTTATGACGATTATTCGGTATTGACTTTGCGTCATATAAAAGGGTTTATTTTAATTTTCCTAACTATATATAGCAAATATATACGAGATGACGCTATTATTTTAATGTGATGTGATATCGACCCCGGACGAGCGCCTGTATGGTGCACACCAATTAAGGCCCATTTGTCAATGCACCATTTAAACGTACAGCTATGACAAGTGTTTATCTTTTTTAAATTAAATGCACATTGGATAGTTATAAAAGATACGCAGTATATAAAAGCATATAAATATTTGTATGAAATATTTTCAATTAAATCTATTCGGGAATGAAAAATGATCACAAACCGCTTTCTTAACATAAAACAGTTAAATAAAAGCGTACATTTTGTATGGGCGACAAGCTTACATTACTTAAGTACGAAGCTTCATAACAAATGTATTAAAAAGGCGTGCTTCTTTTCAATTTATGAATTAAGGAAGTATATTTCTAAATAAATAGCACAAGAGAAGTGAATGTTTAATGTTAGACATTTTGTAATACTACATAACATCTAACCAAAATTGGTCTGTACGTGTTTCTATAAAATACATTAAATGGAATTGAAATCTGTGATTAAACTCAATAAAACATATATGCGGTTCATTTTATATCGCAATAAAATTTATAAAAACCGACGATTTTGGCGACCAACGTTATGAAATATCCGTTTGAAGGGAACATATCCTCTTTTCAAAGTTTAGATGGCTAAAAGCGTTGGTGCAAGTGAAATAGTGTAGTAAGTAAATCTGGGAATGAATATCTTCCAATAAGCAGGTTCTAATTTAGAAAACGGCCGATTCTGCAAAGGGTCCACGTCAGCTAATTCTTAAAACTAGCATCATTCAATTAGAAGAAACATGTCAGTTGCTCTGAAGCAAACCTTTCGATTTCGATGTTGTTCTCCGTGCAGGTTTGGGAAAGGAAAATACACCTTCTGTATCCCACTGCATATGCCCTGAGGCGACTAATGTGGTGTCCCTTAATAATCAAAGGGTGTCTTCTGTGTGTTCTGCCTAGGGAACATCAAAGAATCCAAAATTGATATGTTGCCCCTATTGCACCTGTTGTGAACTATATCTGTTCCTTAACTTCTATCTGCTATTTCTTTTCAACCGGTAATTGCTTAGGTGGTACCCGTGTCTTTGAAATTAAAAATAACTGATTGAGGTGTAAAAACTGAGTCATGCATCGTTGGTAATGCGCACATGTTGCCTCTATGGGTCATTAGCGTAATCATCAAGGTAGCAAGGTGATTAATGCTGGCCTTGACCATCTCGTAAAAAATGTTAAACTGGATAGGTATGTATATGTGAACAAAGTTTACATTCAGGGACAGGTAATATACGCCCCCTCCTGCAGCTGCAATGATTACCTTGCATCTTATTTGGTCGTATACAACACACGAATGTCAGAGATGAATTAAATACCTTTCATTTCGTTTGTCCATGCATTGAATTAATAGTCATAAAACATAAGTGTAGGCATAGAAATGAGAATGACGCTTCTGTGCTACCATCGTTTGTAACGTTTAACATAACTGACATCGTATTACTGAAAATTACAAAAACCAACTCTAATTGCAGTTTTATGCACTTATCATACACTCAACGGACTCGTTACTTAACGTTTGTAAGTTATGTCCCCCTATCAAGTCTGAAGACATTGTACCTGGATTCTAATTTCTTCTAATTTTGGCGCAATATTTTTGACAAGTGTATCCTGTCGTTAAAGTGTACAATCACTCATCAAACTTGGAATGCCTCCCCATAGTTTATTCCCTTTTCCAAACCTCCTGCCCTCTCTCAAAACGCTCGGTTTCATCTTCATGTCCTCGTTCCTGTCACCGTTCTCGTATACATCGGGGTGTCGTTCCTGCTCTTTCTCGTCACCGTTTATCTTTAACAAATTTGCCTTTCTTGCCATTCTCTCGTTTTCCCCACTCTTTATCCCCTCGGTAACCCTCCCTCAACCTCGTACCTCTCACTTGTTCAGTTCGTCTTCGTCCTCCTCAAGATAATCATCCTCATGCTCATTATACTACCCCTCTTCCATTCCCCAAGTCCACAATCTTTCTTCAATCATATGTCCCCTTTACGCAGCACTCTGATCTTCCAGTTTTTCAGCCACGTCCCCCTTAACCCACGCACCTGTTAAACCGCCTGTGCTCCTCATAGCTTACATGACGTGAAGCTAGACATGTTTGATTTAAGTGTGCCAGGTCGGTGATTAATCTGAAACCAATGCGTACATTAAGAAAGAATTCCTGTCAGTATGCAATGATACAGCGACAAAAGCATGCTACGTGGTGGATTGCCAGGTTTGTGGCGAGCAAGGACCCATCTCAAGAACAATATTCATACTCTTAAACACACGTAAATAACTAGAGATCGCCATTCATATCTAAAGTTCAAGTACCAAGAACAAGTACTCGGTATATTATACTACTGTTTTCCCAAAACTTACATCAGAGTTGAACAATCTAACCTGCCTGTTTCCTAATATGGCATTTATTGAATCAATCATAAGACTATCTA